AATAAATAAATAAAATAAAATCTTTAAAAAAATATATAAAGAACTCTAGAACAGAGCTGACACTTACTAAAGTTGTATGTATGCCATATTTTAACAATTCTGAAATTCATATTAGTATTTGAACATCTTTGAACTCAGGGTAATTATAATAGGTGTTCTGTGTGTGTGTGTGTGTGTGTGTGTGTGTGTGTGTGTGCGCGCGCACGCGCGATAACATTAAAAAATGCCAGATCTGGGGCCTCCCTGGTGGCGCAAGGTGTTAAGACACAGCACTATGAAACTGTTCTCAGCCACTGAAGCACAAGTTCGATCCCCGGCCAGGGAGCTACCCACATGGTGCAGCAGACCTCCCCTGGCTCACCCACTGCTCCCCTCAGCAGTGTATTTCAGTCAGTCTGCCTGTTCTGTTTCCCACTCTGTCTCTTGTGAATCCTCTCACCCCCCCTCCACACCTCTGGCCTGTACCCCAGTTCTTGTATGCATAAATAAATAAATATTTTTTAAAAAATTAAAATTAAAAATGCCAGATCTTATAACCAATGACTTCTTAAACTGTGAATACATTGTTAGCTACCATTATGATTATAATAATATAGTACTACTAACTGCATAATATGAAGTTCAGATCTCAAAAGTGGATGGATGGAAAGGTTTCGCTTGTAACTCTAGCCTGTTGCATATAATCACAATATGATTTTTATTGTGGGGAATCCACATTACAGTTCAGTTGGCAATAAAGAGCGAGAGGGATCCAAACCACTAAGACAGGATGGGTAACCAGTGCAAGAGTGACTGGTTTAGGGTTCAGAACTGCCCTTACCCCTTCAGTTCCTCAGGGAGGGGAGTGCTGCTTTTCTGGGCAGAGCCTCCTACTACAGATAACAAGTCTGGAGAAGGCTTTGGAGACCTCATGGACATACAGTCCAAAGTGTCTCAAACTGGCTTAATTTGGTGCCTATATACTTTTTTCAGATATCACCTGTTTACGATAGGGACAGCTAGGCATTTGTTCCTTTTGCTCATGTCATTATCAGGGACAAGTAGTCTTTTTTTTTAAGATTAATTTTATTTATGCATACAAGAGCTGGGGTATAGGCCAGAAGTGTTGGGGATGAGAGGATTCACCAGAGACAGAGTGGGGAACAGAACAGGCGGATCTACTGAAATACACTGCTGAGGGGAGCAGCTGGCGAGACAGTAGAGGTCTGCTGTGGCCATGTGAGTCACCTTCCTGGCTGGGGATCAAACTCAGTGCTGCAGTGGCTGGCAATAGCTTCCCAGTGCTGCGATTTAACCCCTTGCGCCACGAGGGAGGCCCCAAGTAGTTACTTTTTAATTGATGACTTCAGTCACTCCATCTCAGTTGCCTTTCTTGATGAGCCTGGATCATTGCAGCATCAAAACATACAACTGGGGCCTCCCCGGTGGCGCAGCGGTTGAGCACTGGGCTGCGAAGCTGCCCGCAGTCTCTGCAGCGCCGGTTTGATCCCCGGCTACTCCCCGGCCACCAGAGGAGGGTCCCACATGGCACGCAGACCTCTCCTGCCACCCGCTGCTCCCCTCAGCAGTGTACTTCGGTCCTTCTGCCTGCTCTGCTCCCCGCTCTGGCTCTGGTGAATTCTCTCACCCTCCCGCGCTTCTGACTGTACCCAGTGCTTGTATGAATAAATAAATTAAATAAATCTTTTAAAAAAAAATACAACTGTCAGGCAGTTGGATGGAAATTTAAAGAAAGATGGAAATCTGGATTTTTATATAAAATCTTTAATTTGAAATGTTGACTTAAAAATTGTTTTAAGCATTGCATAGGCCCAGTAGATTTCTGAGATAGTATAACAAATCTATCCAATAATAAAATACTGCTAAGATTAACTATTTTAAACATTTTAAGTTTTGAACATTAGAGTTTAGCCCATTTAATTTTTCATTTTGCAGATGAAAAAAAATTCACATACATGCAAAATTATCCCCCAAATTATTACCTGCAGCACTTTGTTAATTGTGGACATGCTTCGAACAATGAAAAGTTTGTTTCCTAACTGAGGTCAAATGAGATACTTTGCCTTCTTGTTTTTATTTTCATATGGTAAACAAAAGGGCCCTTTTCATGGCCTATATAGTGTCATGTGTTTTGCATCTTTTGTTCTTTTTGTTGGTGATTTTGCTATTAAAAAATGGTTCCAAAATTAGTGCCGAAGTGCTGTCTATGTGTCCCTAAGCGTGAAGACTGTGAGTGTACCTTACGGAGAAAATATATGTTAGATAAGCTTCCTTCAGGCTTGAGTCAGGCATAGCTCTGGAGGCTGTGAATCTAGTGTTAATGAATCAAGGATATATATATTTTTTAAAATTTATTTCTACAAGCACTGGGTACAGTCAGAAGCGTGGGAGGGTGAGAGAATTCACCAGAGCCAGAGCAGGGAACAGAACAGACAGACTGAAGAAGTACACTGCTAAGGGGAGCAGCGGGCGTGGCAGGAGAGGTCTGCGCGCCACGTGGGACCTTCGCCCGGAGGCCGGGGATCGAACCAGCGCTGCAGAGGCTGTGGGCAGCTTCGCAGCCCAGTGCTCAACCATTGTGTCACCAGGGAGTCCCCAAGGATATATATTTAATAAGATAATTTTTGAACAGAAAAACACAAAAAACAAGATTATGTAATAGATCCCTGATGAAAATGTGACCAGAGTCTCACAGGGATCTAGCCTTGTGTTTCTCTTAGAGCAGTGATTCAGAATCTGCTAATTCAGTGTTCATGGTGACTATGAAACTTTACCGGGAATAACAGAAATCAACTGTGTTTAGCAAGCAGATGAACAATGAGTCAATCAAGAGCAGGTAATAGAATAAAAGCAAAGTTCATTCTGAAAGTTCTTTAGTTATTGAAGCAATGGTGAAAACATGCTTAGTATGAATAATTCAAATCATCATGGAGTCTAAAACTGTTCTTTTTTTTGTCCCTTCATAATCTCCTTTCCCATTACCATGGGTACTCTCTACTAAAGTTGGTGTATTTTTCTTTTGTCCTGATTCACCAATATATTTATTATACAAATGAGTTTCTTTACAAGATCTAGGTTATAGTCACCTATTTGTTTTTGTTTTTTTGTTTTTAAATATTTATTTATTTATTTATGCAAGCACTGGGTAGAGTCAGAAGCGCGGAAGGGTGAGAGAATTCACCAGAGCCAGAGCGGAGAGCAGAACAGACAGACTGACGAAATACACTGCTGAGGGGAGTAGTGGGCGCGGCAGGAGAGGTCTGCTGGCCATGTGGGGCCCTCGCTGGCTGGCCAGGGATCAAACTGGTGCTGCAGAGGCTGCAGGCAGCTTCGCAGCCCAGCGCTCAACCGCTGTGCCACCAGGGAGGCCCCTATTTGTTTTTTTTTTTTTAATATTTACCTGGAAGCATTGAAGGTATTTTTGTTCACTAATCAATATAGATTATTTGTCCAGAGAGTTTTAAAAAATATTTATAAATTTGTTTCATAGCTAGTAGGCTGAAGTATATTTTTTTGTTACCGTCAAGAAATAGAACAGAAAGTTTATATTTCTTACATATCTAGGTTGAATTTACATTTTTGTTTATTCAGACAGTGAAATTCTGGGAAGGCTACTTGTTGCAAGCATGGTCATCTGAAATGTGCCTCTTGGTAGTTTTCTGAGATAGTGAATGCTTTGATAAAAAGCCTAGAGACAAACTTCTCTAACTTTATTTATTTATTTATTTATTTATTAAGATTTATTTTTATTTATACAAGAGCTGGGGTACAGGCCAGAGTCGTGGGAGGGTGAGAGGATTCACCAGAGACGGAACGGGGACCAGAACAGGCAGACGGACCGAAAGCACTGCTGAGGGCAGCAGCGGGTGAGGCAGGAGAGGTCTGCCTCGCCATGTGGGATTCTCCCTGGCCGGCCGGGAATTGAACCCGCACTGCAGAGGCTGTGGACAGCTTCACAGCGCTGCACTCAACCTGCTGCGCCACCGGGGAGGCCTTTCTCTAACTTTAATAAAGTAAACTGGTTTAATTTGTTAAATACTATCCTTTTTCTTTCTGGTAGTAGCTTACTTATTCACTCTGCTTCCTTACTTTTATACTTGCTTCATTCTTGTTACCCATAACCAACAACACTTCCATCTATATCCAAATCAATGATTAATTTGAAGCCCTTTGACCAGCAATGCTGCATCTACAATAGTCCCCTCACCCATTCACTGGCACATTTCCCTTCACGGTGTTTTTGATGTATTCTGTTGTCTCTGCCAATGTGGTTTCATTGGAGTAGGTACCTTCTATAGTGGCGTGTATTTCTCTGGGACAGAATTTTGTAGTACTCTTGAATTCCAAACACTGATTGATCCAGACAGTATATTTATATAGTATGTTGCACTATTATTTTTCTGTGTGTCTGATAGATAAAAATAACCTAATTTGTATTTTAACTTGCATTTACCTTGTAATGACTGAGATTATCTTTGTGTATATCTCAGGATTTTTTTTGAAAAATGGTTCAAATGTTAGCATGTTTAGAACACAGGAGACTAAAATGAAAACAAAGCAAATCCCAAAATTCCAGTGCTACGAAAGCTAATTTTCTATCAGTATCAGGTAGCTTTGATGTTTCCATAATCAACAAACAATGATTGAAGAACTTGAAACTTGCAAGTTCATAATTTGATACTCATTTCTCTATATACCAAAGATGGGCTGAGACCTTGCATGGTACGGGGACTATGTACTCCAAAGGAGATAGGATTCCCAGATCTAGAACCATACTTGAGGAAAAAGACAGTACTTACAAAGGATTCTTTCATAACATCAGAAATAAGCTACCTAGAAAAAAATAAACAAAATATGTATAAGACCCAAGTGGATCATGGGTAGGAAAACTAATTTTGGTCTAAGAAATTCTTCAAACTAGATGATACAGTTTTGGGGGAAAACTTCATGTTTCTTTTTTCTTTTTATTCTGTTAATGCGATTTCATTTTTCCATGACAGATTCAAAAGCTTTGTGACAGAGTAGCTTCATCTACTTTATTGGATGATAGAAGAAATGCTGTACGTGCTCTCAAATCATTATCGAAGGTTTGTGACACTTTTATCAGTTATTATGTTTATTAAGTTTGATGTTAGTTACTTTAGTAAACATTTTCCCCTGTGTGTGTACACAGAAATATCGCTTGGAAGTGGGTATTCAAGCTATGGAACATCTTATTCATGTTTTACAAACAGATCGGTAAGTTTTAATAATTTTTCTCCCTAATTTTCCTTGAAATTTTAATTAATATTTTTCAGTCACTGTTTCAAAAATGATGGATATTAAAGTTAATAAGTGTTTACTTTCAGTTGTCACTTCAATAAATATTTAATGGATAGTAGGAGCAAACCATGTGATAAGCAATAGGACAGATACTGCAACCCTCTGGGGTGGAGAGTTTTCCATTATACAAAAATGGAATGAAGTAGCTACTAAATAAAGGCTTAAGATTTTGGGTTTGAACTGAACAAGCAGATATTTTGATATTCAGATAAACTGTACTAGTATTCTATAACAATATACTTACATATTATGGCTATTAGTTATCCAGACCTTTTTATTTGTAAAATAACTAAGTATGGTTTAACTATGCTAACTAAGTATAGTTTATTTTTGAGCATATCTTTTTTCTTTTTTTTAAGATTTATTTAATTTATACAAGAACTGGGCTACAGGCCACATGCGCGTGAGGGTGAGAAGATTCACCAGAGACAGAGTGGGGAACAGAACAGGCAGACTGACTGAAATACACTGCTGAGGGGAGCAGCAGGCGAGACAGGAGAGGTCTGCCTCACCATGTAGGCATCTCTGCAGCTGGCAGGAATCGAACCGGCACTGCAGAGGCTGCGGACAGCTTCACAGCGCTGTGCTCAACTGCCTGCGCCACCAAGGAGGCCCTTTTTGAGCATATCTTAAGAGAAAGATCATTCTGCTTATTTTTAACTTTTTTGATTTCTCTTTAAGAGATTTTTTTCTGCAATTCTGGTTTTAACTAACAATTGTATATCACTAGCATTTAATCCTGCCTTTAGTTCTTTTTATCTTACAAACTTTAGCTGTGTAGTGAACACTTGTACCATGTCAAGATCTCTCACAGGTATCTCAAAATATACAAATTGTTCACATTAATTTAGCTCTGTTTCTCCTGTTTTTACTTGCTCTCTTTCAACTATCTTTTCACCCAACTTCATCGCATTTTCTGTCCATTCAAGTAAGAATCTGGAGGATTCATGCTGAGCTCATCCCTCTTTTTTTTTTTTTTTTAATTACTTTTTTTTTTTTTTTTATAGAGGCATGTTTTTTTATTTTATTTATTTATTTGTTTGTTTGTACAAGCACTGGGTACAGTCAGAAGCGCGGGAGGGTGAGAGAATTCACCAGAGCCAGAGCGGGGAACAGAGCAGGCAGAAGGACCGAAGTACACTGCTGAGGGGAGCAGCGGGCGGCAGGAGAGGTCTGCACGCCATGTGGGACCCTCCTCTGGTGGCCGGGGAGCAGCCGGGGATCGAACCGGCGCCGCAGAAGCTGCGGGCAGCTTCGCAACCCAGCGCTCAACCGCTGCGCCACCTGGGAGGCCCTCATCCCTCTTCTTAACGCTTCATGCCCACCCAAAACAAAAACAGTTGGAATCCAAGAATTTCTTTTATTTTCTTTTTATCTTAGTTCTGCCTCTCAGTATCATTTAAACCATTTTCATAGCTTCTGTGTTAGTTATCTTTTTCCACATAATAGTTATCTCAGAACTTGCCACTTCAGAATAATAAAAGTTTATTTCTCACGATTTCTGTGAATCAGGAATCAGAAGTGGGTTAGCTAGGTGGTCTTGACTCAGGGTCCCTCATGAGGTTGAAGTCACAATGTCAACCAGGAATTGAAAGCTTGACTGAAAGCTTTGAAAGCTTGACTGGGCCCAGAGGATGTGATTTCAAGATAGTCATTTACTTTGCTATTGACAGAAGGTGTCAATACCTCACCAGATTGCTCTCTGTATTAAGTTATTTGAGAATCCTCGTGATTTGGCAACTGACTTCTCCCAGAACAGGCAGTCCTAGGAAGAGAAATAGAGAAAACCACAATGCCTTTTAGGACTTAGTCTCTGAAGCCACATATAGTCAGTCCCACCATATTTTGTTTGTCAGAAGCAAGTTAGTAAGTACAGCTTACACTTAAGAAGAAGGGAATTAGGTTCCCCCTTTGGAAGAAAGCTACAGCAAAAGAGTTTTTTGCACATAGTTTAAAACTGTCACCACTTCCAGACTGTATTCTCTGCTTCTGATCTCTTTGTTCTTCCATTTAGTCTATCCATTGCAAGAATTATCTATCTGAACTGTAAATCTTCTGACACTCGCCTATTTCATGCTTTTCACCAGCTCTCTGCAGTATGAAGTTCATGTTTCTCAAAGTAAAGCATGTATATTTTTTAAAGATCTTGGTACCATCTATCTAACCTGATATATTTCCTCTTAGACAACAAACAGACCATACTTCTATGAGTCTTTTTGTTTCCTTCCCTTTCTTGTGCTAACATCCCACTTATCTATTGATTTATTTTTTTTTCAAAGTGTTGTCTTTCTTTAACTTCATTGAATACAAAGGTCTGTCTTCTGTGCCATCTCTTCTCCACTCGTCTTCATTACTGTTTTATGCTTCTTGTCCTGGCCTGTCCAACTCTGAGAATCCTTCCACTAAATCCCTTTCACCAGTGGCAGCATCAAGAGAACTGTATTCCCTTTCTTGGCATAACACAAGGTTCTATTTGTCCATAGAACCTGTTCCTTTATAGCCATTTTAAGGAAGACTACTCATTCTCCCAAGTCCCATATTCAGGGCCCCAAAATTGTGTTATTTCTTACTGTCTTATTTCCAAACCAGGGTACCTCAATAGGGTTTTTTTTTAAATTAAGCTAGAATTTATATACCATGAAGTTTATTCTTTTAAAGCATACATTTCAGTGGGTTTAGTATATTTCCAATGTTGTACAACCATTACCATGGCATAATTCCAGAACATTTTCATTATATCAGAAGAAATTCTGTATCCAGTAGCTATCATTATCTATTTCCTCCTCCCCTCATGCCTCACAACCATTAACCCACTTTCTATCTCTATAGACTTGAGTATTTTGGATATTTCATGTAAGTGAAATCATATAACATGTGACTTTTATCTGACTTCTTTCACTTGCCGTATTTCAAGTTGTATCCATGTTGTATAATGTATTAGTATTTCATCTCTTTTTATGCCTGAAAAAATTCCATTTTACAAATTTATTGCATTTTGTTTATCCGTTGTCTGTTGATGGACATTTGTTGACTACTAAGAATGATGCTGCCACGAACAGTCATATACTAGTTTTAGTGTGAACATAAGCATAGAATGCAGTTGTTGGATCATGTAGTAACCTTTCTTTAACTTTTTAAGGAATTGCCAGACTCTTTCCCACAGAGGCTGCACAGTTTTACATTCCTACCAGCTGTGTATGATGGTCCAGTTTTTTCTAGTCAACACTTGTAACCATTTCTTTTCTTTTTTTTTTTTGTAATGGCCATACTCTTGGTTGTAATTTGGTAATTTGTGGTTTTGATTTGAATTTCCCTAATAATTAATGCAACTGAGCCTCTTTTCATGTCCTATTGACCATTTGAATATCTTTTTGGAAAGTCTGTTAAAATCCTTTGCCCATTTTAAATTGGGTTGCTTGTCTTTTTATTGTTGACTTTTATATATGTTCTAGGTAAAATACTAGATAAATAATTTGCAGGTATTCCCTCCCATTCTTTGTCTTTTCATTTTCTTGTCGGTTTCCTTTGAAGCAAAAGTTTTTACTGGGAAGTGTGAATCCTTCAACTGTGTTCTTCATGTTCAAATTTGTTTTGGCTGTTCTGTATTCCATGCATCCTCATATGGATTTTATGATCAACTTGTCAGTTTCTGGAAAACTGACAGCTAGGATTCTTACAGGAATTATGTGACTATAAATCAAGTGAAGGTATATTACCACCCCAAAAATATTACATCTTCTTGGATACTTTCCTTTAATAATGTTTTATAGTTTTTACTGTACAAGTTTTGTAAAATTTACTCCAGAGTATTTAATCTCACTTTATTTAAATGGGATTTTTTTTTTTAATTTTCTCTTTGTTCTTTGCTATAGCATATAAAATTACAGTCGATTTTTGTAGAATGACCTGTTTCCTTCACTTTTGCTGAATTTGTTTAAGGTTCTAATGGTTTTTTGATGGATTCCTTAGGATTTTCTGTATACAAGCTCTTGCCATGTGTGAATTGGTGTCATTTTACTTCTTTCCCAATCTATATGCCTTTTATTTCCTTTTTTTCCTAATTGCTTTAGCTAGAACCTTTAGTTCATGTTAGGTAGAGATGGTTTGAAGGGACATCACTACCTTGTTCCAGCTTTAGTGAGAAAGCATTCAAATCTTTCACCATTGTATATGTTAGTTGTGGAATTTTGATAGATTCTCTTTGTCATTTTTATGAAGTTCTCCTTTTTTCCTAGTTTCTCAGCAGTCTCTAAATGATATTCTTTAAAGCTTCTCAAAAGCAAAACAATAATACTTTAAAATACCCACCTCATTTAAGATTTACATCTTCTGTTTGTGACTTCTTAGTGCCTCATTTTTGCTTTCATCTTTCAGTCTCATGGACATGTAAATGTTAGCATCACACCTCAAATCCCTTTCACTTGACAGGTACATAAATAAATTACTTTAGCAATAGTGAATTAAATCAATTTTAACAAAAGCTTAAAACCTGGAGAGTCCTAGATAAACAAAAACTTAATACTTATAGCTATTATGGTATAAATTAGTTGAAATTGTAAATTTACTTTAAAATGCACATGTGTATACAGGCAGGTGTGTGCATGCTTGTGTGCCACAAACACACACCAATTAAAGCATTGATTTCTTGAACTGTTCTTCTGTCAGTCTTAACTACTTCTTCATACTCACTAACCCTTTACACCTGTTTTCACTCTTGATTTCCACTCTAAATGCCATTGTCATCCATTATGCCTTCAAAATCTATAACAATGACTGCAAAATCTTATAATTACTCATTTTTTATGTAGGGCATGTTTACCATAAGATTTTTTTTAAGCAAAATGAAAGTGTAGAGCACAGAAATAAAACTCTAGTAGTTTAACTAGAGATAACATTGTTATCTTATATAAACACATTTATATTAATATGTATTAAATAATGATATTGATATCTATTAAATATATGCATATACATACACAGGAAAATTATGTTGAACTAGTTGTGCTGGTTTTAAAGTTGGGTTATTTTTCAAATTATAATTTTAAAAAAATATGTGGACACTCGCAAATGTATATGTATTTTTTGCTAAATGGAATGATTCTGTTCATTAATTTTTATATTCAATTTTTTTCTATTGAAAAAAAGGGTTTCATCACCATATCACTAAATAGTCTTTGAACATACATTTTTCATTGCTTTATATGTAAATATTTGCCATACGACTTTTTTATCATTGAACATTAGGCCACTTTTAATTTTTCAATATTATAAATAAGCCTGTACACATTCTTTGCAGTTTGTACTCTGATATTTTCTTAGGGGAGGATTTAGAAATAGAATTAGTATTTTATACAGTTTTGCTAAATAACCATCTGAAAATGGTTATAGTAGTTTGCATTTTCTAATTAGCAGTGTATAAGCGTAATAATTTCTTTTTTCCAGTTCGGATTCTGAAATAATAGGTTATGCTTTGGACACTCTATATAATATAATATCTAATGAGGAAGAAGAAGAAGTAGGTAAGTTTATTTTACTGTGCTTTCTGTACATTAAATTAGCTGGTTTGTGCCAGTTTTGCTGATTTTACAGTTGAGTTTATATTACAAGTTTATATGGAAGGGTGTTTTTCTTTCTTTTTCAATCAAGAACAGAAAGACAGTTTCAGAAAAGTATCTTTAAGATGATTCCTTTGTATGTGATTTGAAGACAGAATTAGATTCTTCCTGTTAAAAAAAATATTTTCCCTCTCCTATATTTGATTTTAGTTAAAGAGTATGAATATTAGTAATTTCTAGAATAAATAATTACCTTCGGGAATTAACTAAATCTCAGACTTTTAGTTATGTGTGATTATCTGGTAAGCAATATGAAGTTAGAGGATTTTTTCCTGATACTTAAGGCTCTCAACATTGGGCTTATATTAACTTAGAGCAACCATTTATTTAAGTTAGGAAGTTCTTTATGTCTTTTTGATGTGATAATATAAATCTGTTTAAAATCTACACATTTCTTTGGTATATCTTTCCTGTTGTAATTCCAAATTAACTTCTGTGCATAAAATAAGAGTGTCATTTACTTGAATTCATTTCATTGTCAATATATGAAATGCTTGACTAAAAGTCTGTTTATGTTATGCAAATCTATGCATTGGTAACTTTTCATTATGCTGTTGAAGTGTGCATTCCACATATCAGACTGGCTGTTGTAGTTTTTTTTTTTTTTAGGGATGAAAATCTTTAGTAAACATAATTTGGTAACCTTGAAAATGAAACTAGTCACTCACATGACAGCATTTAAATACAGAACACACAGTAACATACTTTGAAGAAAAAATATCCTTATTTTTTCTATTTATTTCTCAGGTGAAGAAATTAGGTACAACATACTGGTTAGACTACATTAAAGACTTTTTTTCTTAAATGTTTCAGACCAGAAATTTTGCTCTTTTTCTAGTTGGTTTGCTGCAGATAATTTTTCTGTTTAAAAACTTGTATAATGGCAATATTTTTTAGGTAGGTGGCTTTACTTTGTTATAAATTTATAACAATCACATATAGCATCTAATTTTCTGTTTCTCAGTATGTGTTTGGGCTCCTTGTTTTTAACCTAGTATTTAGAAATGGTCCTTTGAATAAAACAGGTTACATGAAACTTTGGAGAAAATTATTCTTTTGGGCGATCACTTTTTCTAAGGAAGATTAAAATAAGAACCTAAACCTTCTCCTGAACATTGACTTATCCTGAGTCAGTTTTTAAAAATCTGGGTATTGAGAAATATGTCCTTTGTCCTATTATATATTGATACTTTCCCTCTGCTGCTTCATTAAAAGATCGTTCTTGGGCCTCCCCGGTGGTGCAGCGGTTGAGCGCTGGGTTGCGAAGCTGTCCGCGGCCTCTGCAGCCTCTGCAGCGCCGGTTCGATCCCCGGCTGCTCCCCGGCCACCGGAGGAGGGTCCCACATGGCGCCCGCTGCTCCCCTCAGCAGTGTACTTCCGTCCTTCTGTCTGCTCTGCTCCCCACTCTGGCTCTGGTGAATTCTCTCACCCTCCCGCGCTTCTGACTGTACCCAGTGCATGTATAAACAAAACAAACAAATAAATAAATAAAAAACATGCCGCTATTAAAAAAAAATCGTTCTTTTTTTTTTTAAAGATTTATTTATTTATTCGTCTATTTATTTATTTATTTATTTCTACAAGCACTGGGTACAGTCAGAAGCGCGGGAGGGTGAGAGAATTCACCAGAGCCAGAGCGGGGAGCAGAGCAGGCAGAAGGACCGAAGTACACTGCTGAGGGGAGCAGCGGGCTGCAGAAGGGTTCTGCGCGCCATGTGGGATCCTCCTCCGGTGGCCGGGGAGCAGCTGGGGATTGAACTGGCGCTGCAGAGTCTGCGGGCAGCTTCGCAACCCAGCACTCAACCGCTGCGCCACCGGGAAGGCCCTAAAAGATCGTTCTTAACTCCATTTTAGAGTTCTTGACCTTGGAGATATTTCATAACCCTTTAATTTGACGATAAATCTACCTTGTAGTCCATATAGCATATGCTCTGTCTCTTTTAGTGTATTTCAGGTTATTTGAGTAGAATGAATATGAGTCTCTTCTTTCAAAAGAGTTTATGGCTTATTTGATATTTTTAGGCTCTCATTTTATTGTGAATACTGACTACTATAAGAAACTGTTTTCTTTATCACCTACTTTTTATTTTTGTCTACCTTTTCAGATGATGTTGAAGGTAAAAGATTGCATTTACATATGCATGAGGTTTCTAGGCTTAATTTCTGATAATATAAAAGGACATTGTCAAGTGGTATTTCTTCTGGCTGGTAAAAAAATTCTTGATGTTTGTTTCACTATATAAAAGTTTCTTAATTAAAGAGGAATATTTGGTAAACTTGTATTGCTATTTATTATTTCTATGACTGTTAAATCTACTGTCCAGAACATAGAAAATTTTATAGTATACCTTTTAACAATATTAAAGCTTTTTTCTCTGGTAGGACAGTCTATTTTGAATTACTTTTATGTACTTTACTGGGAAAAAAATTTTGAGCCAATTTATTTTAAAATAAAAATAATAATATGAATAAAAATAATACAGGCAATTTATAGGAATATAGGAATAATGTAGGAATATGTACTGATGTATACATATATACGTTGTAGCCTGCAGTCTTAAGAATTGGAAGATATTCCAATTCAGAGAATATTTATATGTTGATACTGTCCCTTTAAAATAATGCATGCACAGTAATGTCTGTCTAGTGACATTTTTTTATATTAATTTATAGGACTTACCAATATTGTCTTTCTATTTCTGGTGATGTGTTTCAAGTTCCATTTATTTTTAGCTTTGATGTTTTTTAATAATAATTTTCCTCATTACTTAAATTGATTTTATTTCATTTTACCATTTTTTCCTGAGATCCTTAACTTTTTTAAAAGAGGAAGGGAATAGCTTTACCGAAAAATAAGTTTAAAATGGTACATAACAAACTTACCTCTATTTAACAAAAATCTAACAAAGAAACTAACTTATTAAAGCAGACATAATTTTTTTTGACATTTGAGCCTTTTGCTTAAAAGCAGAAAATATCAGAGCATTATACCTTGACTCATTACAGTGAGCTGTTTCCTTCTTGAGTGAATCAGATCAGTAGTTGTTTCTATTGTTGTTTCATCATATTTATGTAGAGCTTTAAAATTTATAGTGCTTTCATGTCCATTATCTTAATTGATCCTCAGAGTAGCCTTTGAAGTAGGTGGTATTTTTCTCTTTTCTGAAGATAAGAAAATGGAAACCCAGAGATCATTTTTTCATCTTAAGTAGAATAACACTTTGTTGGTTTTTGGGTTTGTTTTTATTTGTTTGTTCGTACTTTTTTTTTTTTTTAGTATTCAATGGGTTTCTGATTTAATAAATGCTGGCCATTTTTCTAACTAGATTCTTTATTAAATCTTGTGACTTATATAATTGGATAAAATGGATACAGACAAACATCGAAAAATATAGGTGTAATCATTTAAGTAACTGACCATAGTATAAGAGAAGATTAATTGATGTTCCCTCACTCACTTCGGACTGCTTTTCTTAGTTTATCTCTCTGTAAAGCAGTTTTGCTCTACATAACACTGATTATGAATTTGATGTGAGTTCCAAAGAAAAGGTCCAGAAATGACTTGAATATTCTTGGTACTTGTGGAAAAAGTATTAACTTTAAATATGTTTGAAGAATTAATGTATATATACACATTTAATTGAAAGCCAATCATACAAGTTCTGCCGAAATATTTCTAGAGGAATCAAAGGACTTTTAACAAAGCATTTCTTGGCCCTCCCTGGTGGCACAGGGATTAAGTGTCAGCGCTATCAAGCTATCGCTCCCATTGTAGCTTGAGTTCAATCCCAGCCCACTGCTCCCCTAAGCAGTGTATTTCAGTGGATCCACCTGTTCTGCTCCCCACTCTGTCTCTGGTGAATCTTCTCATTCCCCCACACCTCTGGCCTATACCCCAGTTCTTGTATGCATAAATAAATAAAATAAATCTTTTTTTTTAAAAAAGCACTCCTTAATTTTATACACTTAGGTTTATTTACACTATTGTAACAAAGCACTATTTAGTTCTTATTTTTTCATTTATCTTATTGTAAAGAGTCATTTACTTTTTCAGGTTTTAATAATTATAACATACAACATATAACCTATAGGATGTAAAAAATAGAATCGGCTCTTGGAATTTTAAAATAGGTAGTGGGCGAGAAAAAGATGGTTTACATGTCTCATACCATTGCTTACATATAAAATAGGTGTAACTTCTCATGGGTCTAGTTTTGGTTTACACCGTTAGATACAATTCATAGTTTGTAATTTTTTTAGTAGTTTATAGTATTTTTAATTTTTTTTTAATTTTTAAAAATTATTATTTTTTAATTTTATATATTTTTACATCATTTTTCATTTTTGTACAATGTATGCATTTTCGTCTTGGTTATAGTTTATAGTATTTTTTACTGAATTCTCTCCTACCAAAATAACTTTGTATGATACTTTAATTGGCTTAGCTAATTTTTGCAAGGGAATTTTAAAGTTCAGAAGTGCTGTCTTATGACTAAGGGAAGTGATATATATCTCAATCAACTTTTTTTTTTAAAGATTTATTTATGCATCCAAGAATGGGGTACAGGCCAGAGGTGAAGGGGTTGAGAGGATTCGCCAGAGACAGTGGGGAACAGAACAGGCAGATCGACTGAAATACACTGCTGAGGGGAGCAGCGGGCGAGTCAGGAAAGGTCTGCTATTCTCTGGCCGGGAATCGAACTTGTGCTTCAGTGGCTGCGGATTGCTTTGTAGGTTGCCTCTTTTTTTTTTTTTTTTCTTTTTTTTAAAAGATTTATTTATTTATTTATTTATACAAGCACTGGGTACTCTGCACAGGTTCTTATTTTCATCATATACCTATTAACTTGCCATACTATTCTACATTTTGAGGAAACTAGACAAAGTTACTTACAACTTAGTTA